AGGAGCCTTCTGCAGTGAGAGTGTGGGGTGGGGCCGGCCCGCGTTCTGCCGCAGTGAGGGGCGGGGCGTGAGAGACGGAGACCCGGATGAATTCAGAAAGCCTGTCAAGGGCGGGGCTGGGGTGTTACTGCTCTGCTGAGTCAAGGACCCCCAAAGCTCTAGTAAACGGAGAGTTGATCAGCTTTTGGAAGCAAGCCCCATGCCGTTTGGAAGGAATCAGTAAGATAGGGGTGTTTGCAGGGTCTTACACATTTTAAAATGCTGTTCGTTGCTTGGTTTGGGAATTGATATATTTGCCCCAGTTGGGTAACCCCGGGGCCTAGTGGCCTTGGCCACAAAGGGTAGGCTACAGAGGATTCTGCTTTGGGCCCCAGGGTGAAAAAAAGTACAATCACCATTTCTGATGGGGGTGGGGGGGTCCTTCTTCGGGGTCCAGTAAAGTTCGTTGTCCCTAGGTCAGGCTTCCCTTGTGAGGGTAGGAGGTGACTTGTCCTCAGGCAACATGTTCCCAATGTGACAGCCGCCTCTTTTTCTTTGTCCTTGATGAGCCAGGCCCAGAGGAGCTAGGACTGCAAGTCCAGCAGGATGGTTCTGAGACCACCCGGGTTCCCACTCCTCGGCCCAGGGACGGTAGGTGCCCACAGCCCCTAAGAGGGAAGTAGAGGCATCAGGATAGTAAGGACCAGGATCAGGAGAGGTCACAGCCTGGGGTTAGGTAGCTCAGCAGATTTTACCATGTCCTGGAACCTTTGCCTTTTTGGGCTAATCTCAAGTCTCATTAATAGAGGTATAGTGTTCAGAAAGAGGGAGATGGGTTTTAAGCTAAAGGAATCTGTAGCTTAAAATGAGGGCATAGGGCTCCTTTCCTGAGGAGGGAAATGAAAGAAGTTACTCTTTAGCCTGGGTAGTCCAGGGGGTGAGGGTAGGCAATGATAACCTCAGGAGACACTGATGCCTTCAGGGGACACAATCACAGGCTCCAGAGAGGATAGCCCTGTAGCTGAGGTACTGGGATTATGAACAGTGGACTACGGAGAGAGCAGACATGCAACCCAACATGCCCAGGGTACCCCCCAAAGGCTTGTACATGTTCTTCCATCTGGAGGCTGAATATTGACTGATGTCCATCCTATTTTAATCTCATTTGTCTGCCCAAGTCCAGGGGCTCCCAGGGCAGTGCTGTGTCTCATGCCAACACCCTTTGCTTCCTCTGCCCCTTCCCTGTCCTTGCTTGGGAGTGGCGTGGCATGGGCCAGCACCTTCCAGCTCCCGGCCTTGTCCCCTTACAGGGCACCTACGTTTGGCCAATGGAGCCCATCGATGCGAGGGGCGTGTAGAGCTCTTCCTAGGACAGCGGTGGGGCACTGTCTGTGATGATGCTTGGGACCTGAGGGCAGCCGGTGTCCTGTGCCACCAGTTGGGCTGTGGTCAAGCTCTGGCAGCCCCTGGAGAAGCCCACTTTGGCCCAGGCCGAGGCCCTATCCTCCTGGACAATGTCAAGTGCCGTGGGGACGAAAGCACCCTTCTGCTCTGCTCTCATATCCGCTGGGATGCCCACAACTGTGACCACAGCGAGGATGCCAGTGTTCTGTGCCGGCTGTTGTGACCTGCAGACCACCTCTTCTAGGAACCTACTATGGCCTGCCCCTCTTCCTCCAGGAAGCCTTCCTCCTGTGACAATTGCAGTTCACTCAGCCCTTCCTCCCCTTGCCTGGGAGAGAGCCTGCCCAAATGGTGTGGTCCTGCATAGGATGGCCTGGCTTTATCCCATCAGCTGTTGTGGACCCAATTCAACAAGAGCTCCCACTTTCTGCTCAGCCAAAACAGAAAATTGGGGAAAGGGAATGACTTCTAACTCTCTCTTTGGTAGGGCTCCAGGTACAGCACCCCTAATCCTACCTTCCTGGAACCCAATCCGGGTGATTCAGGAGAAAATGGGGTCTCTCCCTTCCCCCGACCCATCTTGGGATCCCCAAGAAGAGGGAAGACAGAAGCCTGCAGCCCTTACCTTAGCCTGCCTGGGACTGTAGAAGAACCTGGGTCGTTGCCCTGGCTTGTTCCATGAGGGCCCAGACTCAGATGGTGCTTGACTGGATAAGGGGACTGGAGGGGCCAAAGCAGGGACAGTGGCCCCTCCCTGCAGCTAGAACCAGCATCTGTGATTTATGCTGCCCCCACCACAGAGCCTCCACTTTGCAATAGCAAAGAACTGTGGGGGTCTGTAACCATCCATTCATAGGTGCCAAGTCAATAAAGCATTGTACCCTCTGTCTTTTAACCGAGGTCAGTGTTTGGACACAAATGCATTGTTTGTGGCAGCAGGAAAGACTGGTAAAGATTTTTTGGAGGTTTGGGGATGGAGGGCGGTTCAAGAGCATCATCCGAGAGCTCTCTGCAGGCCATCACATCCTGGAAATGCTGACTCAGTATCAGGCCTGGAAGGCCTCTAGAGGGTCTCCTAGTCCATCCCTGTTTTGCACTTACAAATAGAGAAATCTAGGTCCTACAAAGGAAGGGTCTGCTCAAGTCACATAGCTAGGTGGTGGAGTCATTAGAACAGAAAAAATTGACAGGGGGCAGGAAGGCAGATAAGGTAGAGCAAAGCAGCATTGGGGCTTTTGCAGAGGCTGCTTTTGGGGCACCTCACCTGCAGTCCTAGGGGCATAGAGAAGTGGCAGATCCTGCCAGAGCCTCTCTTAGCCCCGGGGTCTTGCCAGTAGCAGCTGTCTGGCATCAAGCCTCTGCCCTACAAGTCCAGCCAGCAGGCTCTGCATGAGTTTCCTACAGCTGCTGTACCAAATGACCAAAACTCAGTGGCTAAAAACAACACAAATTGATTATCTTATAGTTCTTGAGGTCACTAGTCTGAAATGGACTAAGTTCAAGGTGTCTGAAGAGTGGTCTTTCTGGAAGCTCTAGGGGAGAACTCGTTTCCTTACCTTTTCCAGCTTCTAGAGCAGTGGTTCTCAACCTTCCTAATGCCGCGACCCTTTCATACAGTTCCTCATGTTGTGGTGACCCCCAACCATAACATTATTTTTGTTGCTACTTCATAACTGTAATTTTGCTACTGTTATGAATCGTCATGTAAATATCTGATATGCAGGATGTATTTTCATTGGTACAAATTGAACATAATTAAAGCATAGTGATTCATCACAAAAACACTATGTAATTATATATGTGTTTTCCGATGGTCTTAGGCGACCCCTGTGAAAGGGTCGTTCCACCCCCAAAGGGGTCGCGACCCACAGGTTGAGAACCGCGTTCTAGAGGCTGCCTGCATCCCATGCTTGCTCATGTGCTCCTTCCAGCCAGCAATTACCTGCTGCTTCCACCATCACACTCTCTTCTTCTGACTCTTCTGCCTCCCTCTTCCGGCCCAAAGCTTCTTATGAGTGTTAGACCCACCTGGATAATCCAGGATGATCTCCCATCTCAAGGCCCTTAATTTAATCACATCTGCATAATCCCGTTAGCCACGTAAAGTAACAGATTCAGGAGCTCTGGGGATTAGGATGTGAACATCTTAGAGGGGCCATTATTTTGCCTCCCACAGGCTCTAAATCTGGGTCCTGGCTCTCAGCCAAAGAGGGAGGCAGACATGAGCTCCAAGCTCTTGGCAGTAATGGCTTTGTCTCCATTGGTTAGGGAGTTCTCTGAGACCCACTGTGTCATTGGAGAGATGAGGAATGGAGGAATGAAAATGCTTAAGAATTCAGGGAGTTGGACAGGAATGCTCTATCCATCTCACAGCCCCCATGTCTGAACTCAGCATATTCAGAATCTGCTTAGACTGTAGTCATAGTCACTCCAGCATACCCACATTTGAGTGTGCCTCTTTGTTGTGCCAGAAATATCACCGCTTTCCACTCCTTATGTGCCCTTTCCCATCTAAACAAAGTGTTTTCATTGATGACCTCTTGTTTGACCCTCATAGCAGCCCTGTGAGGGAATTATTATTGTCCCATTTTACAGACAGGGAAAACTGAGGCTCAGAGAGGAGAAAAGACTTATCCAAATTTGTACAGTGGACCCAGGACTACAACCTAAGATTCTTGATGCACATTAATACTGGTCACCAACATGTCCAGTTCTTCACCTTCCTGGTATGTGATAGCTTTGCACTTCCCTGCCCTCTTGAAGTGAGGTGTGGCCTATGACACGCTTTGGCCAATGAAATGGGAGGGGAAGTGCCCCCCAAGCAGAAGCCTTCAAGGACCCAAACACAAGTGTCAAGTTCCCTTGCTTTCAAGTGACCAGTGATGTTCCAGGAGGTGGAGGCTCCATCAACCTGTGTGGCTCTGAGTGAGAGCCAACTGGAGCAAAGTCTTCATGGACTCAAGATGGACATAGAGACTGAGTGAGAAATAAGTCTTTGCTGCTCCAAACTACTGAGATTGGGGTTGTTTATTAGAGCAGCCTAACATAGCCCATCCTGACTGAGACTTTCCTGTGGTTTTACCTGAAACCTGTTTTCCAGCCGGTTATTAAGGCTAGTTCTGTTCACTGTTTATTCAGCACATTTAGTGTTCTATGTGTGAGGGCATCGTGGGATTGGGACCATACAGATAAATAAGACAGGCTTTTATCCTTGAGAAACTCCTAGAATAATCCAATGATGACCTGAATACCCTGTAGTCTCCTGAAACTCAACCTGTCCCACTGAGAATTTTGTCACCTACACCTATATCTGGGTTTCTCTGTTTAGTAAGTAGCATTACCAATCACTTGTTTAGGCTAGAAATCTGGGTGTTATCCCCAACAACCTCCCCCCCACCCCAAACAAAAACAAAAAGAAAACTAATTAATCACTAAACCCTCTTGATTCTAGCTACCAAATCCTGCTGGAACCTGTGTACTTCTCTCCATCTCCACATTTCTTGCATGGTATCTTCACTGTCTTCCTGACTTCCAACCCACTACCCAGAACATAATAAACTGTCTAATGTTTACAAATCCGATGGTGCCACTCCCCTGCTCACACAAACCCCTTTTATGGCTCCCCAGTGCTCTTCCTCAACTCCTTAGCTCGGGTTATAAGGCCCTGCACAGCCTGGCTCTGCCTGTGTTTTCAGCATCATCCCTCACCACTTGCCAGGATCGAGCCAGGTTGAGCTACTTTCAATTTCTCTAATGTCTGGGCTCTCTTCCCACCAAGCCTCTGCACATTCTGTTCTCTCTGCCTGGAATAGGCATCACCTTCTCTCCTCCTTCCCCTCAGTCAACTCTTACTTAGCCTCATATCTTGGCTTTCCTTTTCTCCAGAGGCCTTCACTGATACAACCCTCCTCCCCAATCTGGATTAGGAGCCCACACTGCACCTTGTACCTCTCCAGTGACAGCACTCATCCCCTGTATCTCAGCAGACTGCTAGCTTGGCTGTAACCTCAGGGCTGGGGCTGGGGCTGTTGTGCCCAACTTTGTACACAGGATCTCACACACAGTAGGTGCTCAAATATTTTCTCAGTGAATGTAGGGCATGAGCAAATATTCCTGGGGCACCTGTGTGCTAGGCCAAGTGCCATGCTGGGCTCTAGGGCTGCAGAGCAAGAAGAGATGTAGGCCAGGTTCTGGTTTACATGGCACAGAGATTACCTTCAAGAGAAAATGGATAAGCCATTAAACAAATCAATAGCCAAGAGACTTTGACCTACTGATTAGTGCTATAAAAAACATAAAGCAGAGTATTGTGGTAGGAATTGGGTGGTCAGGGAAAACCTCTGAGGAGGTGAGGTTTGAGCCAGGCCTCAGTAGCGAGAGGGAGCTGGCCGTGAACTTCTGGCCATTCCAGGTCCTTGAAGGGTGGGGGTGGAGGGCTGAGGATTTAGCCTGACTTTCAAAAGGACCAATGAGAAGGGCATTGTGATTGTAGCAAAGAAGGTCATGCTGAGATGAGTCAGAAAAGCTGGGAAGGACCAGACCACTCAGGGTTTTCTAGGCCATGGGAGGAGTTTTATCTAAGGGCGAAGAGACTCCATTGGAAAATGAGTGATATAGGTGCCCCAGATGTCAGCCTCTTGAATATCTCCTACCTCATTCAACTTGCTGAGAGCACCTTGCCTCTTAAGGTTTAATTAAAAGGACCCAGCCAGGTATCTCCTATGAAAGTAGGATTCCCAGCATCCCTACCAAAAACCTCAGGAATTCTTAAGGAGTTTAGATTCTGCTGATCTCTGAATCCCTGAGTTTTGCTGATTTCTGCATCTCCCACCTGTTTTTGCCTCCTCTGTGGCTCTCCTTTTTCCTGGTCACTGACTAAGCTCTCACTCCAAAAGTTCCACCAATTCCATGCCATGCATGTAGCACATCTGGCTGACGATGTGTAGCAAAGGCCCAACAAGCAACTGAAAATTTAAAATTAGATACCCTGGCCTGGCAGGTATGGCTCAATGGTTGAGCATCGACCTATGAACCAGGAGGTGATGGTTCTATTCCTGGTCAAGGCACATACCCAGGGTTTCAACTCCACCCCGGGTGTGGGGGGAGGGCATGCAGGAGGCAGCTGATCAATGATTCTCTCTCATCATTAATGTTTCTATCTCCCTCTCCCTTCCTCTCTGAAATCAATAAAAATATATTTTAAAAAACAGTAAAATAAAATACCGTTTTTAAAAAGCTCTTCTACACACATGCGCACGCGCGTGCACACACACACATACACACACTCCCAGATGATTTTCACTTTCTTTTTAAAATATATTTTTATTGATTTTCAAGAGGAAGGGAGAGGGAGAGAGAGATAGAAACATCAATGAGAGAGAACCACACATCAGCTGCCTCCTGCACAGCCCACACTGGGGATCAAGCCTACACCCTGGGCATGTGCCCTGACAGGAATCAAATTGTGACCTCCTGTTTCATGGTTGATGCTCAACCACTGAGCCACACTGGCCAGGCTCACTGATTTTTCTTTACTTTAGCCCTAATGGTCTACCCCAAACACTGGGAGCTGGGACCCTCCCTCTCTCCTGCCACCTCCTTTCTTCTCTTCCCTTGTTTGCAAGACATCCAACTCCCACATTTTTGCTCTTTAAAAAAAAAATTAACAGCTTTATTGAGATATAATTCACATACTATAAAGTTCAGTCTTTTAAAGTATACAGTTCAGTAGGGGTTTGTCTATTGGCAGGGTTGTGTGACCACCACCACTATTTTAATTCCAGAACATTTCATCACCCCCACCAAAAATCCCCTCATATCCATTAGCAGTCACTCCCCATTTCTACTCCCCCTAGTCCCTGGCAACCACTAATCTACTTTCTGTCTATGTGGTTTGCCT